AGAAAACCTGAAATCTGGATGTGTTTCTAGGAGATGTTCTCCTAAATTTCATTGCAATTTGCATTGCCAGCCTTTTGGACAGCACTGAAAAATGAGCAGGTTCACTAAACAGAGCTGAAATGTAACATCATCCCTATCATTCACAAAATACAAGAAACTTCCCTTAGCCAAGTTTGTATCCCATTCCTGTCACAAAACCATGACAATTCCTCATTCAGAAGGTTTTTATTTTATTTATTTTAAAATAGATGTTGATGCAGTTTGTACAGTTGCATTCACAGATGGTAAGGCTGTAAGCCATCTTATGACCAATTTTGACTCTTCATCATGGGTCATGAGCTCACCTACAACTGATTCCTACTTGAGCAAGAGCAGGGCTTAAGACTAGAAAAGGCATTTGATTCTATCACATTGTATTGTAAATGATTGCAGTTGTTACCTATCCTTAATGCAACTAAAATTATGTGCTTTCAGCTTTGTACTGGATTTCCTTGTATATATTTCCACCGGAGTGAAATGTCCCCTGTTAGACAATGCCTGTTCCACACAAAAGCACTTACAAACCATAATCAAGTTATTCTTTAGCTTTTACTGTGACATACTAAATCTAAATAGACTTACACTGTGGTTTTGCTCCATTTTACAACTTACTTTTTTTTTTTTTTCATTCATATCCTCATGGTTCTTCTCAGAACTACCTCTAGTTTGCCAACATCCTTCTTAAGTTGCTGACATCAGTGCTGACATTATTCCAGTAGCTTTCACCAATGCCAAACACTGAAGTAATACAAGTTCTTGATTTCCCTTGATACCATCCTCTACACACAGAAAAAGATTAAACTGCTCTTTTTTGAAGCTCAGTTTCAGAGGGTGTTTGGGCTTAGCTAGATATCTACCAGGACCCCCTGTTCATTTTTCAATTTCATTTTCCCAAAGAAGAACTCATCTCATGTAAAAGCCTGTGATTTTTGTTCCTAAATGGATACTTTACATTGGGTTATATGCAGGATGCATGCTCTCTCTTTGGCACCTCCTCTTCAAGCAGTGCCTAAAAGGCCTTCATCAAAAAATGCCCACCTCCAGATTGTGGTTTGTTGAAAAATATTATTTGCATTGGCATTACTTTCTCCTGCACTGCCAATAGCATTATTAATAAGCACAAAGCTGATAAGAAGCTCCAGCAGAACCCAGTCTCATATCCCCATGTTACATTGTCCTGAAGATTTAGAATTACCTTGTTTGAAAACAATTCAGTTTGCCATGTATGTTCATCATATTAGTTCTGATTTCTGACAGTCTCTTGTGATACTGTATGGTAAATGCACTCAAAATCAAAATATATTACCACAATTGCTTTTATCCACCAAATTTGTACTAGCATAAAAATAGCATATTAATTTGATAAGATCTTTCTTCCATTAATCTGTGTTGATTGCCATTAATTAAATTGCACTGTTTTAATACTTTATTAATTGACTTTCCTATCAGTAGCTCCATCACTCTGCCTGGAATAGACGTCAAACTGACAGGCCTATAATTACCTGGTTGTCCTATTTTGTCTGTAGAATTATCGGTAAAATACTTAACTTTCTTCCAGTCCTTCCTCAGAAATATGATGTTTTTATCCAGCTTGGGCTTCTTTCTTAATCGTGGCTTTTTGAGGATCTAGTGAAGTTTTTCTGAGTTGCTCTGACTAATTATTCACATTTTTGTTGGTTTAAATTTTCTTCTCCAGTCTGGCTGATACATCCCTTACTTGTTTTTAGCTTTGAGAAATGGATCTTTCGAGGCAAAAGCATAAATTTTGCTGGTTAGGACTTTAGCCTGCTTACATGTATAACATGTAAAATGCATTAAAAAGGCACATAAAACATAAAACCAAGTCATTACCACTTCCACCTAAGCAAACTTTAGATTTTGTGGTTAATATTTCCCTGTCAGGATGAGGTCTAATGCAGAAGTTTCCCATGCCAGATACAGCTCTTTTTGAGTCAGGAAGTTGTTTTGTGTATTTTTTCTTGAAAATCCAAGAATGCTTTAGTACTTGCATCATGAGACATCCCTTTGCTCTCCCTTCAGACTTATCTTGCCAAGATTGAAAATGCCATATATAGTGAAAGGCTTTTAAAAGGCTAATCTGGAAGGTCACCCTACACCCAGAGGTAGAGCTGGTTAGATGAGCCAGTTCTGGGTCATTTGGAATAAAGCCTTCATGGTATACAAGCAGCATTACCATGCTGCTGGCACTGAAAACTGAAGTCCATGGGAAAGCTAAAACCTGAGTAGTATTCCTTGAGTTCTGGCCTGACGTATTAGTGAGAGAGAGTTACTGTCCATCACGCTTCTGGCTCATTGCTGTGTTTCTTCTGCCCAGGTGTGTCCTAGCTTTCAAAAGATAAGTATCGGTTCTGCCATAATTTGGGGGAAGGGGGAAAAATAAAAAAGAGAATGAGATCACTTCATTGTTTGTCTGCATCTGTGCTTTGGCTGCAGGTAGCAGAGGTCCCTTTCAGGTCCCATGAAGCATGAAGACTAGTAGCTCTGCAGGCACCAGCCTGTGCCTCTGTGTTTGCAGAGTGCTTCCTGTTTGGATTTCCATCAGCATTTTTTTTTTACCCTTCACTTGCTTAAGTGATGATTCAACTGGACAAAAGTTATGTATCTTTTGTCGTCTTCAAGGAGAGACATATAAAGATGTTAAAAACACAAGAATGGCTGTGCAAAGCCAGACCCATGGTCCATCTCACGCAGTATTCTCTTTGTGGTGTGCAGCAACAGTAAGCATTCATGGGAGGGGATAACAGTGCAGTGCATGATACTCCCTCAAAGCAGTCTCTCAGGCCCCTTCCCTGGTGATTTTCTCACTGAACCAGCAGCAATGCCTTTCTGTTTGATATCCATCAGTGGCATTTTCTTCAGTGAACTCTTCTGATTTGCTTTTGAGCCCTCATACACTCTTAGCAACCACTGCATCCCGTGGCCAGGCATTCCATAACTTAATTGTATATATGAAGAAGTAACTCTTTGTTTGAACTTCTGTCATTCAAGCCTCCTAATTTCATTTGATACCCCCCTGTTACAGTGCCAGAGGAGGCAGCAAACAGTAATTCCATACTTACTTCCTCTCTGCCATTCATGATTTTATAGACCCTATATTATATCCTCTTTCCCCAGCTGAAGAATCTCAGTCTTCTCAGTAATTCTTTTTATGAAAAAAAAAAAAAAAAAAAAAAATCTCATTTCACTGTTCCTTTTCTACTTCTATTATATATTTTGGGAATCCCACACAGTATTCAGGATGCAGCAGCATTATGGATTTATAGTGACACAGTTGGCCTCTAGATTGTTCTGTATTTGTTTCCAGCAGTTGTTGATGATGACTTGTTTTTCTCACCACTGCAAATTGTTCTGCTGAATGTGACAATCTGTGACTATGGCTGTGTGTCATGACTCCAAGATCTCTGTGTCCCCTCGGTGATTAAGACCAGATCGGAGCTCACTGATAGGTCAGTATTTATTCCCCCATGTGAACTGTTTTGTGTTTGTCAACATTGGTTTGCCTCTGCCATTTTATTACCCAATGCTTCCATAGCATAAGGCATCTCTACAACTCTTCAGAATCAGATTTTGTTCTTGTTACACCACATAAGCAAACATTGCAGACAATGTTATTTGTTCTCATTTTCTAATGGTTTCAAAAATAGCCTACAGTGTATGTGCTAGGTGTTCAGAAAGGGTAACAGCTGGCATCACAGGGTAATGCCAGAACCAACCACCAGGGCAGCATATGGATTCATCCTCTCAAAAGGAGAGAGAAGGAGCTCTGAAAAGAGAACTCCATCTTCTTACTGGCCTTTTGGAACTTCAGAGATACCCTTGACTCCTTCACTTCTCTTCAAGAAAGTTGAAGTGTGTTAGTGAGGTACCTGAACTGAAATCAGAATCACCTTGGGCTTCATCAGTAGCCAACAATGGTGTTCATTGCAGGTAAGTCAAATTCTAGGTGTGCTAAAATGAAGTTCTCAGTCTCTTTTCATCAACCAGAAGAGAAAATTCTCCATTCTTAAGCATTCAACTGGGAAATTACAGCAAGATGGGATAGATCCAGACTTCAGTATGTAGGCTTTTTTTTTTTTTTTTTTTTTTTTTTTTTTTTTTTTTTTTTTTTTTGGGTGAATTGTAGACTGTGCAATTTTACAAGCACAGGGAAAGCAGAGTTATAAGGTATCACCTAGACTGGAACACTGACTATTTGAAGCATGTTATAGCTGATCTATAATTCACATGCTTATTTTGACAGGCCAGCTCTTGTTAGTTTTCAATGGGTGTGGGAGGAAATAGCAGTGCATAAAACTTGCACATTACTAATACCATTGCCATATAAAACAAATATTTGAATAGGAAGTTTCAAAAATGATTCAGTGCTCTAGCTACAGAATATCCTACAGGACTTTTTTTTTATAGTAACAGAATTAATGAAAAGCAAATCCTGTTTCTCTACCATGGGCATAGGGTGGTCCCAGTGCAGCAGAGCCAAAGTGATACTGTGTCTCAGGGATAGAAAAAGCAGCCTCTACAGATTGCTGGCCCCTTGGGTGAGCAAAGCTTGCTTTGAAAGGACTCCTTGAGCTCGGAGGTTGCTGTATGCTTTTTAAGTGACTGTACCAGATCGTGTGTGGGTGCAGCAGACAGGGGCTAAAAGCCCTGGGCTGCAATGCAGAAGCAATTGAAAAGCCTCTCTGTTGTCGCTGTTCCACTGACTGCAAAGAAAAACTTTCTTACCACCCCTACAGACTATTCTAACCACATCCTTTGAAGGTACTGAAGCTATTTAAGTCACTTAACTCAAAGTTTTCTCAGCATTAAGTCATAACTTTAAAGCTACAGGGTGAGGAGACAATTGTTACGTCAGTAACAACATTTCATGCAGATGCTTTCATAAGTGGAGGATTTCTAGGTACTAAAATGTGATATGACCACCAGACAGAGAAGCCAAAATATCACTTTGAAAATAATCTCCTTCATAACATAATTTTTTAGTTCACAGGGAACAATTTGCAGGAAGTTTGGTTCCAGATCTCCTATCAGAAGTGCGGTTCTTCCACTGCACAGTGCTGTTGGGTTGCACACAGAAGCAGCCTGCAAACAATTTGGAGCAGAAATGTTGCCTGTCTTGTGCCTTATGTCTTGTGTCTTGTCTTGTATCTTGTGCATACTTTATCACAAAAATTCTTGGAAATTTCTCATTTTGCGTACTGGATCCCTATTGAACAACTAGAAAAAAAAAAAGAAAGCACTTCATTAACTTCTGGAGAATTCACATTTCTTCTGATGCAACAGTGAAAGGGGATGTGTGCATCCATGAAGACACATTTTACTTATCTCTGGCAGCACTTTGACAACCTTCAGAACGTGCAATAACACAATGTTGTCTGATCTTCAACAATGTGATCAAGGACTTTTTATTATTATTATTATTTTTTTCCAATTTTCAGTTACTTTTATAAAGTTGATGAGTGTATAATAGTTTTTTGACTCTGGAAAATCCACCTCAGAGTGGGGAATCCCTTTTATCTTTCTGATATATGGAAAAGTCTGTGTCTCTAATCTGTGCTTTGTTCCTAGAATCATTTTTAGACTCAAATGCAGTATACTACTATTTTTTGCTTGCATCTATTTTAATGATCACATATATGTGATACTGCAGCAGGTGGAGTTATTTATACACATGGAAAAAGATGTTAGATCTGTAAGTTGTTCAAGATCTTAAAATAACTTGTGTACTACAGGAATCCTTTCTGTTAACCTTAGAAATGGGTGGCGGTCTGGGGAGGAAATGAACATAAAGTCATTTTATTTCTGTCTTGCAAGACATGAATGAATAACTGTTGTCATCTGATCTTCCAACGTTGATCCCGTCTGCGACTTTTGAGCATTTTGCATTACTTGTTTCTCTAGCTTCCTCAGCTAAGATGGGTAAAGGAACATTAAGCAGAATGATGTCATTTTATGCATTCAAAATGTAATAGACTTGAGAAATATATATATTTTTTCCTCAATTTGTAGGTATGTGGAAATAAATGGAAATAATCCTAAAATAAAAGTAAAGTGCTGTCCCTTAAACTCAAAAGTTTCTAACATCGCTCAGTGATGATGCAACAGCCAGTAAGACTGAGCGAGTAGCCAAGTGTAATTCTGATCCCTGTGCTTTGCCAGGCTGTGACACTGGCACATTTCCAGAATAAGCCAATTTCAGAACTATGGAGCCTCCAAATATGATCTTCTGTCAGTCTCAGGGATTTCAGCTCCAGGAAAGGAAAGATTGATCCAGCAGATTATAATCACCACTGTACGAGACAGCGAAAGCAACGATCTTCCCTGTAGCGGAATGCCAGCTACTCTGGGACTCATCATCACCTTCAGCTGTGCTGGGAAGTCGTGGTGACTTAGCTCAGGTATCACTGTGTCTCATCATGCTCCTGTGATGCAAGGCACTGTTTTTTAATAGGTGCTACGGTGGCAACTCCCAACCCATGCTAAAACAACCAAATGCTTCAGAGTTTCCAGAATCATCCTCATTTCAGCCTTTTACTTCCCATAAAAAGAGAAATAAAGTGAAACTGAGGCTCACATTTCCTCTCCAGACACTCCTGATTTTTGGACTCTTTCTGTAGGACAGAGCAGCCATCCCTGGACCAGTTCCTGGGGGATGCTCTGCCCTCCCAGTGCCATTGTGAAGTAGCAGCTGTACACCTCCAGACTAGGTGCCATATCATGTCACAGTCACTGTGGTGCCATATCATGTCACAGTCACTGTGGATTCACAGAACTGAGACATGCAGCAGTACCTCACAGCTCTTGTGTGGTTTCCCTCTCACATGGGACACAGGACAGAGCCAGTTTGTAGCAAGAGAGGAGTCTGGACAAAGGCTGGTCATAAATTACCAAGGTAAGTTCCTCAGTGCTAAGGATGAAGCCAGCATCAGTATGACCGATTGAAATTAAATAACTCTGATAGACCAGCTGTAACAAACAAATTGACCTGAATGTATTTGCCCCAAAGCAATGAGATGGCTCTATTTAGGTAAGATATTCTTCATAACCTTTTTCTCATCTGACTAATCAAAACCCCAAACTCTCTTTCCTTGCTGATCCTAGAAAATCATTTGAAGGAATATACTGTCTGTGACATAGATCCCAAGGGGGGTGCTTATAATGGGATATTTGGTTAGGCACTAGCTTTAGTTTTGGTGAATTGTATGGCTCCCACCAACACCTGAAGAAGATTACCTGTTCTGATAAGGGTTCAAAACATTAATGGAAAACTAAATGGGAGCACATTCTTTCAAGAGAATAAAGCTGATGCTGTGGGCAGTTGCAATGAGCTACATCAGCTTTCAGAGATTTAACAGGAAAAAGTGCAAAGATTTACTAGTCAAAACTCTATGTCATTAGAGATTGCTTTGCTATCAAAATAAAATGCAAAGGGTTTTGAAAAGTGAAACCATGTATGTTTGCTCGTGAGTAGGAACAAACAACTATTCCTCCACCTACTGCTCATCTGCTGCTTTATATAATGAATGACTACTCATTTTTAACATTCGTGGCGTTTTATCAAAATGGAAAAAAAAAGATAAAAGGACAAAACTGATTCAGAAAAACAGCTGCCCATCTTGATACCTGTAATTATGTATTATAACTTAATATCATGGGCAAGACTGCAATGCTCTGGCATTCAGTAGTTCCTTATTACAGTTATGAGAAAAGTTAGTTCACTGTTGTTAAAGTTGACTAACTGGGTTAGTCAAGAAGAACGTTGTTTTTAGTTGTTTATAATCTTATCAAACTCCAACCAACTGAATTTAAAGTATCCCTGCCAGACATCTGTTTCATCCTTTTTTAATGTGCTTCCTTTTGGAAAATTTCAGCTAAAATGATGTTTTGAAGAAAAAAAAAAAAAAGAAAAAAACAAAGGAGACTGTGTTTGGCCTCGTGTGTCATTGGTAGACTGTTAAAGCCCTATGCATAAATAGAAAAAGCTAAAGAGGGGTTTTGTCTTACCGCCAGAGAAGTGGTCCACCAAATGGCCCTGGCCTAATTGTTAGCCTCTGTGGCATATGCTTAGCAGAGATGAGATTTAAATTTGCTGATCTCTGCAGTGATTATGCTGAAGGCTATTGAGATTAAGCAGCATTGTCTGAGCATTACATTGATGCTGCAATGATACTACAGTAGTGCCAGACAGGAGCCAGCCCAGCTCCTTCTCTGTTCTGGACTGTCCAGTCATTCTGCATGGATATAAAAACACAGAATGGTTGTGCATTTTTCTTGTTTGAAGGAAGCACTTCAACTACAGAGCAACTACAGGTCTTCCTCTGCATCTTTCTCAATGTTGTTTGCATTTGCATTTTCTGGTGTCCTGGATTCAAGAGAAGTTTTAGGATGAGTCTGTGTTGCGTACAACCTGTGCAAAGCACTGTCCCCCATTGTGGGGCCTTTGGGTCTGCATGTCTCCCTCCCCAAGTTCACATCCAAACCAGCAGTTTGCTATAGAAATCATCAAAAACAGCACCTTTCCTACTGCTGTCTGTGTCTTTATCTGAAGTAAGACATGAAAGAAGGCTTGGTGACTATGCAGATGTGCCTGAGACTCCTCGCTGCAGCAGTGAAGTGCCACAGATGGAGAGATCTGCTTACTCTGGGCGGTCTTCCTCATGTAATATTTTGTGGCTCAGCTTTAAGAAAGGCAAAACTCTTCCTGTTGCCCCTGTTTATCTGAATTACTTGGTAGGAACAAAAGAGTGTGTTATTAGATGTCTCTGCATCAATTGCCAGATGATAGGAATAATAATATCACAGAATCTCCCAAGAAACCTGATGCAAACAAGCTCTGTAACGCTTATCTATGGAGGGAGAACCACAAAAATGTCAAAATGAGATTAGTATATATTTCGTATAAAGTACTGTTTTAGGGTTATTTGTTAATAAAACTGGAGATCTTTGAATAAAAGGTCAAAAAAATCTGTAAAACTAGCACTCAGTGTACAAAAGGGAACTGCTGAGGGAGAAAAAAGCTAAAAACTGTATTAGAATGGATATTAAAAATACTAATATTTATATATGATAGAACTCATTATTCTTAAAAATTGGGAATGTTTGAGTTGCCATTTGGGGTGAGTAGTATGGCTCACTGTGGGTAATGTTTAGCTTCTTGCTTTTAAATAAGAGGTCACTGTTTCAGTAACAGGAAAAAGGAAGCCATAACATGTAATAAATGTTCAAAGTATTGATTGTATTTGCCAGCAGGTAGGAGAAAAAATAGTACATACATCAGTTAGATCCAAAACAGTCCCTTCAAATTGTAATTACCTCTCTCTCAAATTAAAGGGTCAGATACTTGAATACACACTGGGAAAAATTTGGATAAAAGATCAAATCTAAGACAGATTGATCAACAACAGTAGCAAGGAACTTGCAGTGAAAATTGCTGTGCTTTAGCAGCTCTCAGGGTACTTGGGGCAACAAGGTAAATATTCTGAGGGTATTTTTTTAGGAGGCAACAGAGGAGATTTCGAAAGTTAAATCTCTCAGCTTTCTTATTACATTGTGTTTACATAATCATATCCAGATGCTTCAGGCAATAGTCGTTTCCTGTGCTTACAGTTTGCTGTTGTCTCATCATTCCTTTATTAATCTTTGTAAGGATTAGCAAAACAAACAAGATAACTGTGAAACTGAACACAATTTCAAATGCTGCTTCCTATGAGAAATTGTTTTCCAAGGAGCATTTATCTTTCTGCATACCCTGATTTTCCTCACAAAATGCATTGGCAATTTTTCTTTATGTTCAGCATCAGAAATAGCAAGGTGCTGGACTCCCCACTCCTCAGTGTAATGTGTAGGTAAGATTCTACATGCTCACAGCTCCGGGCAGGAATGAGGCATTGGTTTTTCAGGCCTTCAGGTTATTCACCCAGCCTTTGTATGTAAGACCATGTACACCTGCAGTGACCTATAAACAACATCCCTTTCACATTATTGTCCAGATAAAAATACACTATGCACTTACTATAACATGGCATTTAACAAGTAACTATTTCCTCTGCATGTCAGCAGAATAAAATACACATAAATAAAATATGTCCTGTACTCTGAAAATAGCACAGTATAGTCATCACAGTATACGGTTGGAAGTTATTGTGCAATGATAGCACACCTTGTTGAGTGACAGTGCAGGGCTGTTGCCCTTTGCTTAGCAACATACCAAAGCATGGGATCAGAGTCTACACCCTGTCTTATTGCTCAATTAGGATCTGGCATATGTCCTTAGATGTTACCCTGGCCCATATCCACATATTTTACTTGCATACGTAACATCATATTGATGTTGTGAAGGGTAGACCTGATTAAAAGTCTGCAGGATGTGGGGCCAAATATATCTTGGGTTCTCTTGCAGGAATCAGAACCATCAAAGGAGAACAGCCTTCTTGGTGAATGTCCTTAATTTTCTGTTTAGTATTTCTAATATTGGCTTGAAATAATTTTAAGTTTCCTGGTAAAATTTGACTAGTGATTAAAGTGAAACATCCTATTATCTTAAAAGTCAGAAGTATTGTCTACCTTCATGTTGTGGGTTATTGAAGTGAATTGGATAAGACCCAGAAAAACACAACTGTTACCTGGTGCCTGCTTGCCTCCAAGCTGAAATGCTTTATTTCCTGGTCAGAGCAGGAGCCAAACATCATGAAAATTTCTCCATAAATATTCTCTTGGATTTTAGAAGACCTATTTGTGAAAGACTCGTGTCTATTTTAATTGCCTTTTTTATAGTTTCCACTGAATGGTGTTACAAGCCCTGTTAATCACGGAATCAACAGTGGAGATCTTAGTTCAACCACATCCACACAGGGATGGAGCTCAAAGCTGGAGTGTTGCCTACCTGAATGCTGAGGGTTAGGGTTAGGGTTGGATTCAATTGCAAGAGAGACCTGAATCCCTGGAGCAGTAATGTCTGTCATGGTCACAGGAAATAAATTTATAATAGACAAACTAGTAGGCAATCAAATTGGACCACAGTTAAAATCTCTAGAAAATTATGAAATATTATATGACAATAAACAGTAAATTAAGATAATGTTATTAACTGAGTTCAGCTTCAATTGCAGGACTGGTGTAGCCCTTACCCACGGCTCAGGGAAATCACACAGGTGAGATAACAGCTGAGAAATAGATCGCCCAATATTGACTAAGGCACGAATGCAGTGGTTGGCACACTTCTGTTTTGCATTTTGGATGCTCTGATGTGTAATCACATTGTATCCCTATACCCAGTGGGGATAATTAACATCATATTTCTGACATAACCCATTCCATATTTTCAAAACACTTAAAGCAGGATGATAACTTTGAAGTTTCTATTTCTCTGAAATTATCCACTGAGTTCAAAAGCAGTTTCTAAAGACAGGCAGATAGAGTAGCATGACTGATGGACAGGTAAGTGCATCATGGTCATGTTGGCACCTCTAACTTAGGAAGCTAGAATTAGAAACAGAAAAGCTATTAAATAATTTTTTTTTTTTTTTCAGCAGTTTTATAGCTTTAAAGGAGTACACAATTACTCTTATTCTGAAAACATTTTACCTAGTGATACCTTAAAATTATATTTAAAAGAAATATAAGATTTTCAAAAGTTTGATAAAGATGATGTTTAAGAGCTTATTGCTACAA